GGATTATAACGTACCAGATATAGGATTGTAATGTTCTAGATATAGGATTGTAACGTACCAGATATAGGATTGTAACGTACCATATATAGGATTATAACGTACCAGATATAGGTTTGTAACGTACCATATATGGGATTATAACGTACCAGATATAGGATTATAACGTACCAGATATAGGATTGTAACGTACCATATATAGGATTATAACGTGCCATATATATGATTGTAACGTACCACATATAGGATTGTAATGTACCATATATAGGATTGTAACGTACCATATGTAGGATTATAACGTACCTGATATAGGATTATAACGTACCTGATATAGGATTATAACGTGCCATATATAGGATTATAAGGTACCAGATATAGGATTATAACGGACCAGATATAGGATTGTAACTTACCATATATCGGATTATAACGTACCATATTTAGGATTATAACGTACCAGATATAGGATTATAACGTCCCATATATAGAATTATAACGTACCAGATGTAGGATTGTAACGTTCCATATATAGGATTATAAGGTACCAGATATAGGATTATAACGTACTATATATAGGATTATAACGGACCATATATAGGATTATAACATACTATATATAAGATTATAACGTACCATAGATAGGATTATAACGTACAATATATAGGATTGTAACCTACCAGATATAGGATTGTAACGTACTATATATAGGACTATAACGTACAAGATATAGGATTATAACGTGCCATATATAGGATTATAAGGTACCAGATATAGGATTGTAATGTCCCATATATAGGATTATAACGTACCAGATATAGGATTGTAACGTACCATATATCGATATGTTGACGACTTACTTGAGATATAATAATCAAGAAGGGGTCACAGAAGTATTCGAACACTCATATCAACACCATATATGCCACTAACAACATCAAATTCACATTCGAGGAAGAAACCAAAGACAGGGGCGTAACAAACGGGTTTTCAATGTGTAAGCCCAATGATGAAGTGTGCTGCCGAAGGCAGCACCCCGAAGCGCGTAGCGCGAGGAGGGGAGGGTATGTGAGGTTTTTTTCCCCCCTCCCATTGGTGGGGGTCGGGGGCGTCTTCCCCAGGAAAATTTTGTTTTCTAGAACACATGAGACGCGTTCTCCCTTGTTCTGGTGTCAGTTTTAATGGCCATTTTAAAGCAAGAAAATATCGTTTTCCCCTATTATTTTACAAAAATTTTGCTTCTTTTTGGGTACGTAGGGATTGGTGCTCATCTACGCCAATTCTATTATGGAGTTCGGTAACATTATTCCACGGAAAAGGAAATTTAAAATCATGTGGATTTTGGGATAGTTGTTGTAAGAGTGTGACATTTCTTCTCGCGACTGTGACTCCGGTTGCGCAGGGATATGAGACTAGTATCACAAGCTAGCACTAGGAATAGTTTAACAGAATGTACATAAGAACCGATATACTGGTCAATGTGTAAAATATAAAGCCATGGTTTATGACCATTCCATATGTATTTTGTATTAATAAAGGGGATAAAATCATATGAACAGTTTATTTTACGGGGGCGGGGGGCTAGTGAGTTCTATGTGTATACCAATAATTTGCATAGCTAGAGTTGCACTGACACGGTTACCATGTCAAATGATTGAAGCCAGGCTACCAACCATATTGTTCCCTTTATATGTATAAAAGCGGTAAAAAACCCCACCTAGAAACACTTTATTTCAAGGGGAAAACTAGAGTTAGTGTTTAAGTACACCGATAATTAGCAAGACTAGAGTTTCACTGGCGCGATTACCATGCCGAATGAATATGCTACCCTCAGTTCTACATTTGTTAGAGACTTTGATTGCAACGAAGCATTTTAGTTGGCGGTCTTTATAGCAGATACAAAACATCTGTCATTGCTTTTTAATATGTTATATCATATAGTCTATGTTGCGTTTATATTTTTTTTATTTTGTCAAAAATGATGTGTAAGCCCGGGCTTTTTTGCTACATACAATATGTAGGTTGTTACGTGCCTGAAAGACACAATGCCCTTCCTAGACACTTTTCTGGTAAAGAAAGAAGACGGAACCGTGAATTTCAATTTTCAGGTACCGGACTTATATTCTCTACCCCGTGACAGTCAAAAAAATAAGACATTAACCGTAATGCAAAATGTAGTTTCTAATATTTTCGTGACTAGACAAGTCTACAATGGTAATTTGCGTTCGATCTATCTCGTATCTTAATAGTGAATTAGACGTATTCCGAATGAAGTAATAACTGACAGTCACGTGACAAATCTGGCGGGAAAGAAGTCATTGTGTGTACTGTAAACACGTTGCTTACGTTTCGCCATGGATGTTGCCGAACAAGCTGTCAGGACTAACCAAGTGAAAGATCAGGTTGGCGAAAGATGTCAGAAACTATTTCAGGACTTTTTGGAAGAGTAAGATACATTTTTATTATTTCATTATTAAGTTTCGAAGAAAATCTTTTTGCATTTGAGCCCGATCCAAGTCTCCAAACTTTTCTATAAAAATGCGAGAAAAACTGGACCAGTTGGAAATGGTAGGCATCTGACGCAGTTTGTCATTTTCTGATGGTGATGCTAATGCACACAATCTTACACCCTCTATGATTACTGGAAATAACTGGAAATCAACCCGATTTGCGTCATATGGCCCTGGTGATATGTTGTGTCGGTGGGAATTGCATTTATTTTATGCATGAAACTTTTCGCATCGGTAATACATTATCTAATCTTGCATGTTACATGCGTGGTAAATTAAATTTTACTGATTAAATATATGTTTTATTTGTAGATTTTCTGTAGATGGCGAACAAAAATACTTGTCAGAAGTTCAAGAATTGATCAGACCAGAAAGAAACACACTTACAGTAAGCTTTGAAGATGTGGAAAAGTTCAACCAGCAGCTGTCTACTACCATTCTAGAGGAGTACTACAGGTGAACGAGATTTCTATTTTAAAGTCGTATGCCATTGTTCATGCTAAAAGCCAATTACCGACAAAAGTTACCTGCTTTTTGATGAATTCATGAACTCTGAACCAACCGGCTGTTTTTAGAAAATATGTATACTGTACCATGTGAACAAGTCGACCACCTGTTGAAAACACTGTGTTCTGTAAACCTTTTTATTTTTACTGTTTAAGCTGAAATGGTGTGGGAATGTAGGACAGTTACAGTTAGCTTTTGGTTACAACAGCACATGATTCCTACAAAATCATACATGATGGATGTTGTACATAGTAATGTTTGTTTGAGGTAAACAGACATGTTTTACTTTATGTACAGTTTTTCTCCGTACATGTTAAAGAAAATGTTCCCTTTCTAGACTAGACAGAGATTGAATTTTGAGATTGATTTTACTTTGATATATATATATATATATATACTAGGAGAAAAAGACTATAAGTACCATACCAACTCTGAAGAACACTGCCTTTCTGTTTTCATTAAAATCTGCATTTAGTTCATGTTATATTTAAACACTTTATCAGCAAGTGCATTATCGAAACAAGGTTCACATAAAGCAAATTTCACTTTCAGAGTATATCCATTTCTCTGTCGTGCTGTCCGTAATTATGCGAAAGATTGGGGTCAGATACCACCTGCAAAGGAGTTTTATGTCAGCTTCACAGATGTTCCCACTAGACTCAAGTAAGTTTCTGAAAAAAATGTGTCGTGATGTTATCCTATTTAAGGTAAAACCTTTTATGAAATAAACACAACCAATTTTGATGTATTAATTAAGTGCACTTATCTTCTCAGGGTCAGAGAGATGACTACGGCTAAAGTTGGGACATTGCTTAGAATCATTGGTCAGGTTGTGCGGACACATCCCGTCCATCCAGAGCTGGTCAGTGGTACATTCATGTGTCTAGATTGTAGAACTGTCATCAAAGATGTGGAGCAACAGTTCAAATACACACAGGTAACAGTATGGCCTGAATAAAAATGTGTTTCTTCTAACGCGACTGTTTTTCATTACAGTTGTGCATACTTCACAAAAGCTGGTCATTTTAGGAATGAGAGAAATTAAACAACAACAAAGAAATAGACTAGCCTATTGGCAGTATTTAAATATTTGTAGTTGGTCCAAATACAAACTTAATGTTTTAACTGAAGCCTATTTGTCAGCATTCATTTGGTAAGTGGGGTGGGGGGAGGGTATTTCTTTTTAATTGAATGGTGGGTTTTTTTGGTGGTTTTTTTGGTGCATGTTAAGTGCATTTTCAGGCAAAAGTCATTTAATTTTAAATATCATACCAGTTTTTTGTATTTTTCAGCCAACCATTTGCAGGAATCCTGTGTGCAACAATAGGGCACGGTTCATGTTAGATGTAAACAAATCAAAATTTGTGGATTTCCAAAAAGTGCGGATACAAGAAACACAGGCAGAACTCCCTAGAGGAAGCATTCCTAGAAGGTAAGCCAGAAACTGCCTATTGGAGCCAAATTAGATTGAAATTGGCAAGTTATACAAAAGGGAAAAGAAGAGGTTTTCTAAAATATTGAACTACAAATGTTACAAATTTTGATTCAGTGCAGCAAGTTTAGGTCTTGTTAACAGTTCTTTCGGATCTAAGTTTGAAAATCTCTACAGTATTCAAGCAATGAAAAGTAAACGAAACGAATAAAAGGAAATAAAAAAAAACTGAAATAAGCTGATCAAGAAAAAAATGAGTGGCTATTTGTTGATTAAATATTGTGTTTCATGTGTTGGTCAGTGTTGAGGTTATACTTCGAGCCGAGGCTGTGGAAACAGCACAAGCAGGAGACAAATGTGACTTCACAGGTACCCTGATTGTGGTCCCAGATGTGGGGACCATCTCAACACCAGGTGAGTAATAATAGTGGCATCAGCTTTGTGGTAACTTTTTAGACACTTGCAAAATGTTGGCAGTGTTTCACTTTTTACATAGTAAGGCATGTGTCAAGCAAAAGTGCAAATTAGAGGGGCATAACATAAATTGTTTGTTTCCCCTTTATCTACCTACCTACCAAAATATCTCTTGCTCAAAATATTTTATTGACATTTTCCAGAAAGATTTTTTTTTTTTTTTTTTGTAATTGTTTAAAAAAACAATCATACTTGTCTAGACTACTGGTATTCTGTTTGAATTTTAAGTTACTACTTACAGTATAAATAAAAACAAAATTGAAAAATATAATTTCCGTATCTACCTACCCATGGTTTTATGATTTTGGTCGGCAAAGGGGAAACAAACAATAATTTAATGTAGGCCAGGTTTTGAAAAGAAGTGTTTATCCTAGTAAATAACAATCATTAATGAAATCATCCCCAATGATATTTATGCTATAGTTAGTGTTCATACAAACTATCCTTTCAGAAATTAACAAGATTACAAATGTTTTTAACTATCAGGAGCTCATTCTGAGACATCATCCAGGGTGCGTGGAAATGAAGGTTATGAGACAGAAGGTGTGCGAGGGCTGAAGGCGCTTGGAGTACGGGACCTTACCTACAGACTGGCTTTCCTGGCGTGTACCGTGTCCTCTAGTAACCCAAGGGTATGTCTGCCTATGTCTAAGCATGTACAGTGTTAAACTGTTTCCCAGAAAAATTACAAGGAAAGCTGGACAGTAGTCGGATAAGTCAAAAACACTTGTTCCATACATTATCGATCAACATACAAGACTTTTCCCTAGGTTGAGGCAGACAGTGCACTGTCTGCTTGGTGTCAACATTGAGGGCTGATAAGGCGTGAATTAACTTTCCCATTCAAATTAATGTGTGTAGAAATAGTCAAAAGATCTTGTTCTTGAAAGCAGATATTTTTGCTCTACTGCCACTTTGACTCGCACAATGGGGTTGGCTAATTTGTTATGGACAGTTGCACTACACTTGTTAAATCCTTTTAGGCATAATTTACTAGTCTACCTTGCCAATTGACAACGGAAGGTTTTTGGCAGTTTTACCCACATTAAGATGAAGTTTGGCTAATACCTGTGGCAGTTTTAGCCACAATAAGATGAAGTTGGTCGTTACCTGTGAGTCTCTATTTATGAAATCTGGATATTTTTTTCTTTACAGTTTGGTGGCCGAGATATGAAAGATGAGGAGATGACAGCCGAGACTATTAAAAAACAGATGACAGATGATGAATGGCAGAAAGTATATGACATGAGCATGGATAAAAATCTTTACCACAATATGTGTTCCAGTCTGTTCCCTACGATACATGGTAAGACACTGTAATTAGGGTCAAAGTACTGTAAAAGCATAATATTTCGTTGGAGATTTAATTTCGTTTATTTCATGGTTTTATAAAAAAACACGAAATATAATCCCACCAAAATTTGAAGCACACAAAATATTAATTAAACGAAAATATGAAATAAACTATTAATTTGATTACAAATCCATGCTGTATTTACATTTAGACGCAAGTCATGATAAACGGTGAACTTATCGTCACAATCACAGAGTTTAACACTTATAACAGCAGCGTGTCAATCAAGCGTTATATTTGTAACAAGAGTTAGAGCATGACAGTTTTGGCCGAGACCCATCGAGTGAGTTAATCTCGCCTGATCTTACCTGTAACTCACAAGTTGTGTGGTGAAATCAAGTTGTATAGAAAGTTAACAATATAAAAAAAACACCACAAATACAAAACACTCCCTTTTTAACCCTAAGGCTGCAAGCGCCACAATAGTGGTTTCGAAAAGTCGGGCCGTCGGTGCTGCGCACGACAATAGTGGCGCTCGGTCTGTAGGTTTTTGATCAGTAAACAGGAAGTGTGAAAGCCGACTGTTGCGATACCAAACCCGAAAGCGTAGAAAGCTTCTGATTGGTTGTTTTGTCATTACATTCGATATTCCCGGCAATGTACCCTAGTAATAAACAGTGTGCAAGAGAATTTCAAATCGGAAAAAACATCATAAAAATGGCGGACGTGTAGATTGAAGTGATGAATATGATGGTTAACATTTATTCTCCAGCGTCACCTACGATGATAATAAAGGTTTTGAAGGGCTTGACATGGTTGATGTGGAAATACCTCGGTGTAACATAACATGTAACTTTCCAATGAACAGCTTTGTGCCCTACGCAAACATGAAAATATTGGCGGACCGAGGCGCACATGTCGTCTGCAGGTGAGGCCGAATTGAACATTGACATTGATATGTTTTGAGCCGATTGATTTCTTCAAACTATTTATCGATGATTTAATCATAAACTAGACCGTAGCTAAGATATATCTATATGCCGACTGTGACAGTAAATATATTGAATGACGACCTGAAACCTGTAGCAAATCGCATGCAATTCTTGATGAAATACCTGACCTTTTTACCTGAGAATCTCCGTGTAAATGTACAGCGTCTTGTGTCATAAATGAAGTGATTATCTCGAGCACCTTTGGTCATTACTAGGGTACACTGCTGGGAATATCGAAAGTAATGACAAAACAACCAATCAGAAGCCTTCTACTATACATGTTCGGGTTTGGTATAGCAACAACCCGACTTCACACTTCCTGGCTACCGATCAAAACCTACAAATGGAGGGGCCGGCCCCCCCGGCCTGATCTACAGCCGTCTAACGGCTGCTTCCCCTAGTCTGAAAGCACTTTTCTGCTTCTGTATCCTTTTCTGTAATAGCCCTAACATACCGGGGTTTAATTTTGTAGCTAGTTTACATAATTTTAAATTTACCTTCCAAGTACATTCTTTACTGGCTACTGTCATGGTCATGAAATAATAGATGATCAGGATTGCTATAAGGTATTTTAAAATTTACTGAAGTGAGTTAGTTACTTTGTGCAAGATACCTTCAACTTGAAATCTTTTGAAACCCCTGAACTTACAGAGATAGGACAAGGAAACTAGCTTATGAAACTGTCTGACTAACTTTGTTATGTGTGTTGATGACTTAAAATTTCTTGCCATCAGGTAGCGAAGAAATCAAGAGAGGCGTGCTTCTCATGTTGTTCGGTGGGGTTCCGAAGGTTACAACAGAAAAAACCAATCTCCGTGGTGATATCAACATATGCATAGTTGGCGACCCTAGTACAGCCAAAAGTCAGTTCCTAAAACAGGTAATACTATATCATTTTATGTCATGGGTTTATTTACCTTTAGTTTTTAATAGTTGGCGACCCTAGTACAGCCAAAAGTCAGTTCCTAAAACAGGTAATACTATATCATTTTATGTCATGGGTTTATTTACCTTTAGTTTTTAATAGTTGGCGACCCTAGTACAGCCAAAAGTCAGTTCCTAAAACAGGTAATACTATATCATTTTATGTCATGGGTTTATTTACCTTTAGTTTTTAATTCTTGGCGACCCTAGTACAGCCAAAAGTCAGTTCCTAAAACAGGTAATACTATATCATTTTATGTCATGGGTTTATTTACCTTTAGTTTTTAATAGTTGGCGACCCTAGTACAGCCAAAAGTCAGTTCCTAAAACAGGTAATACTATATCATTTTATGTCATGGGTTTATTTACCTTTAGTTTTTAATTCAAAGTCTCCTGTTTCCTCAGAATATGTGATTTTTTTGTACAGGGAAAAAATGATGTAAAACTTTATTGTACATTTGATTCTTTGAATAAAAGTTTTATTCCTGGAAAGTAGCAAACAAGTTACATGTTAGGTCAGGCAGTGTGCTAGACTTCCAACTAAAAAGAAAGTACATTTAAAACTGAGAAGCCAAGTGTGCAACACAAAATTGAGAAGAGTGATTATCAAAACAAATATCTCAGAAGAAAGATGAGCGACAATCCAATGAACTTAAGGTTACATTCACTCCTGGTAAAGAAATCAACTAATATTGTGGCCTGTATGTTACATAGGTAGAAGAGTTCAGCCCCAGGGCAGTATACACCAGTGGCAAGGCCAGTACTGCAGCTGGTCTGACTGCTGCTGTGGTTAAAGATGAGGAATCCCACGAGTTTGTCATAGAGGCAGGTGCCCTTATGTTGGCTGACAACGGTGTCTGCTGTATAGATGAGTTTGACAAGATGGACCCCAAGGACCAGGTAGCTATTCACGAGGCGATGGAACAGCAGACGATCTCCATCACCAAGGCTGGCGTCAGGGTAGGTAACTCCAGTGAATGATAGCTGTTCGGGTAGATTCCATGTTTCTTGTTCTAATGTATGTCATAAAAATGGAATAGGGTAACAGTAGGAAACTTAGTTTTTGTTTTTAAACCAATCATTATTTTTGCCTAGTTTTACCACTGAATGTAGGCTGCTTCATTTTCCCAAAATGAAGTGAAAATGAAGAAGATCTTGACAATTTTGATAAAAGTTGTTCTGTATTTTCCTTATTTATGTAGGAACAGATGTTGTAAAATTCAGATAAAAACCCACTGCAAACATAGAACTGATCAAGAATATTGTCCTCCTTGCATCAGGTTTTCAGATTATTGAGAGATCTTTTAACAAAATTGACTTTTATTTCTAGGCCACATTGAATGCCAGAACATCAATATTGGCTGCTGCTAATCCGATTGGTGGACGATACGATAGGACAAAATCGCTCAAACAGAACATCACCCTGACTGCTCCTATCATGTCACGTTTTGACCTGTTCTTCATCTTGGTTGATGAGTGTAATGAGGTACAGTACAAACCACAATTTGTTATTTTTTATATCACTAACAAAGATTAGAGAGGACATTATGATTAGGGCTTTCAAGTACCTTAAATCTGAAACCCAACCCATGTGTCCAGAGTTCAAGGTCACTGTTACTCTAGTTAAAACTTATTTTCCACTTGCACTTCATACACTGCTTCTATAAGGAAAATGCTTCAAGATTTCCTGTCTGGCATATACTTTTTTTTTCTCTTTGGACATTCGTTGATAAATGTAGCTAAATGCATCAGAAGATGGAAATATTTGCTGATAATAAAACCTTTCCTTCCATCAGTACTCCAAACAATTTCAAAGTATAAATTAATTCTATTGGGAGTAAATTTATACTTTATCAGTGTGACAAATGTTTAACTTCGAAGCAAGCAACTATGTCTTCATGATGAGTATACTAATGACTGATCTGTAACCATCTGTTTGTGTAGGTGACGGACTATGCCATTGCTCGTCGTATTGTGGATCTACACAGTCGCCAGGAGGAGTCCGTCGAGAGGATCTACTCGGTCGAGGACATTACTAGATATCTCATGTTTGCCCGCCAGTTCAAACCCAAGGTAGTACAAGCTGTCTCGTGTTTTCTTTAAAACCCAAAGTAATTCAAGATATATTGGGTTTCCCCACCAGTTCAAACCCAAACTAAATGCAAGATATTTTGTTTGCCTGCCAGTTTAAACCTACAGTAATACAAAACTCAATGTAATACAGGATATCTCCTGTTTTCCCACCAGTTTAAACTCAATGTAATACAGGATATCTCATGTTTGCCCACCAGTTTAAGCTCAATGTAATACAGGATATCTCATGTTTGCCCACCAGTTTAAACTCGATGTAATACAGGATATCTCATGTTTGCCCACCAGTTTAAACTCAATGTAATACACGATATCACATGTTTGCCCACCAGTTTAAACTCAATGAAATACACGATATCTTTGTTTGCCCACCAGTTTAAACTCAATGTAATACACGATATCACATGTTTGCCCACCAGTTTAAACTCAATGAAATACAGGATATCTTTGTTTGCCCACCAGTTTAAACTCAATGTAATACAGGATACCTCTGTTTGCCCACCAGTTTAAACTCAATGTAATACAATGTACAGGATATCACATGTTTGCCCACCAGTTTAAACCCAATGTAATACAGGATATCTCTTGTTTGCCCACCAGTTTAAACTCAATGTAATACAGGATACCTCTGTTTGCCCACCAGTTTAAACTCAATGTAATACAGGATACCTCTGTTTGCCCACCAGTTTAAACTCAATGTAATACACGATATCACATGTTTGCCCACCAGTTTAAACTCAATGAAATACAGGATATCTTTGTTTGCCCACCAGTTTAAACTCAATGTAATACAATGTACAGGATATCACATGTTTGCCCACCAGTTTAAACCCAATGTAATACAGGATATCTCTTGTTTGCCCACCAGTTTAACCTCAATGTAATACAGGATATCTCTGTTTGCCCACCAGTATAAACTCAATGTAATACAATGTACAGGATATCACATGTTTGCCCAACCAGTTTAAAACCAATGTAATACAGGATATCTCTTGTTTGCCCACCAGTTTAACCTCAATGTAATACAGGATATCACATGTTTGCCCACCAGTTTAAACCCAATGTAATACAGGATATCTCTTGTTTGCCCACCAGTTTAAACTCAATGTAATACACGATATCACATGTTTGCCCACCAGTTTAAACTCAATGTAATACAGGATATCTCATGTTTGCCCACCAGTTTAAATTCCGGTAACAAATAGATATAACTTGTTAATTTTTTAGGTTTGACTATAAATGAGTTTCGTCATATTTGTAGCAACCTGAATTATGTTACCACTTCTATTAACTCATTCGCCCCTGAAGACAATTGAAGACCTATAATTCAAAGATTGGAATGGTTCATTACAATATTTCAGGGGTGAATGAGTTAAAAGCGGTATGTCTGAATGATTACTTTTGGCAAACAAACTTGTATTATTTTGATCCTGATTGTCAATAGTTCAGATAGGAAATGGTGGTAAGTTAAGGCTTGAATCTGAACTTGTGTTGTTTTCATTAAAAGTATATTGCTTATAAGGGATGGGGTTTATAAAAACTGCAGACATTTGTCCATTTATACTTTTATTATACAATAGCATGGTAATTTTTAACAGATTAACAAGGAGGCACAAGAGTATATGATTGAGGAGTACAAACACCTTCGACAAAGGGACGGCACAGGGGCAGCAAAGTCGGCTTGGAGGATCACAGTCCGTCAGCTTGAAAGTATGATACGTTTGTCTGAAGGAATGGCTCGGCTGCACTGTCAGGACGAAGTAAGTGATGTAAAATGAAATACTGTCATTGGGCAATCAATTTTACATAGATTTTTTTTTTTATCAATTTATTTTTGGCAAAACATTTTTATAGAAATATCAGACTTATTGATAGATTTAAAACTAGTTCCTATTTGTGAAATTGTAGGAAGTACGGTACACCAAATAATTGAGGAAAGGTTTTAATAAAAAATGATAATTTATCAACTTGTAGTTTTCTACTTTTGGATTTTTGACCATTTACACAGGTAATTACTTCATCAGCTATCTACCTACTTGCCTTGTTCTGGACAGAATAAAAAACATGGCTGACTAGCATGGTTAAGTTACTCTATAACACACGCCGTACAGAACATTACAAACTAGAGAATAGTTAACTTATTAGGATGTGACAATTTGTCATTTATATCCTTAAGGTGCAGCCGAAGCATGTGAAGGAAGCGTTCCGCCTGCTGAACAAGTCAATCATCCGTGTGGAGCAGCCCGACATTCACTTGGAGGAGGAGGATCAGCAGCAGGAACAAGAAGAGATGGACATTGACGGTGGGTCAGGGGTCACAATCAGCATATTTGTGAAGCCTTTATATTTGTTGATAAATTTTAGGTCAGAGGTTAACCTGGACAGTATCTTGTTAATTAAATAGATGTCCATCAAATTTTCACTTCAAAAAATTAAATTTGGTCTAGTACCAGTTTCAATAATCGCAATATAATAACGTGATTGTTATTTAGTCCTTTAACAAATGGATCCTACAACAAAGGACTCGATTATTCACTTCATATTACAAGGGACAATAATTCTCTGTTCTATTATAATAAATCAGTGAAAAAAAAATGGTTTAATTTAGAGGTATCAACAGTTTTAATATACTTTCTAGAAAAAATGTTGCCATTTTGACAATACTCCACTTGAATATTGAAAGATGGGCAATAAAAAGAGGTTTAAATCAGTACGAGACTGACTAGTGTTGTATAACTGATTCTTAAAGATGCTACACCAGCAGAGCCACAGCCTACACAAGAGGGAGATGCTGCTTCAGCTACCCAGCCAAAGAAGGGACTGAAGCTATCTTACGATGAGTACAAACAGATGGCCAATTTGATGGTGCTTTACATGAGGCGACAGGAGGAAGAAACACAAGGTGTGTGTTATTCCTGTAGATGTTGTATTTGACAAGCGGTGTCCGGGGGCTAAATTTACCTGTAACAATTACTCTAGAAACAGTTATCGCCAAAGTTTTTTTCTATTGTCGACAGTAACTTAAATAAAAGCCCCTCAACATCATTGTCGCCAAGAGCAGTTTCAAATCGCCAGTCATGTTTTAGTTTCGCCAGTGGCGACCGCCAGCGCAAGCCCTGATTTGTGAATGATAATGTCTGTTTGTCTGTATCCCCAAATTGGCTTGGGGGAGGGGATTGAAATTTCTCTAGTGAAGGCTTGTATTGAAATTCTATAACTCTGTTAGTCTCATTATGAGACAGTTCTTTGTGAAGAGATTTGCATGCTTACATGTAAAATTCAATGTTATGTGTCGATGCGAAATGAAAATCATATGGATTAAATATTTGTCCAAGTGTTACTTGCCTTCATGAGTTTACACAAACCTAGCAGTTGGTTGATCTAAGGGACATAATTAAACTCAAAGTTAAATGGGAACATTGCAGAGTTAAGACAAGATTTTACTACATTTCATCAGTCTTAAAGAAATATATATATTTGTTTGACCCTGTCACAATTTTCTTGTCTGTTAATTATGGTTAACTGAGAAAAAATTATGTTACACATTTAATACTCGGGTTCAGGAAATTATTCTTTCAAATCAAAATATCTCATTTCCTAGAAAGGGTTCACTTGTACTTTTTTATGTTCAATTTTTCTCAATGACATAAAACATGGTTAAATAATAATGATTTTATTTGTAGAAGATGACTCCAGTAATATGAGGCGCAGTGACCTTGTCAGTTGGTATCTCCGGGAGATGGAGAGTGAGATAGATTCTGAGGCTGAGTTATTGGAAAAGAAGACAATTGTAGAAAAAGTTCTGGATAGACTTGTTCAACACGTAAGTAAAGAATTTAAGAAAATTTCTGCCACAAAAAAAAAAAAAAATGGTTGTCAGAATTTTAAGGATTTTAACCCTTAGGCTGCTACGCACGACAATAGTCGTTTCTCGGCCTGTAGGTTTTGATCTGTAGCCAGGAAGTGTGAAGTCAGGTTGTTCCTATACCAAACCCGAACGCGTATAGTAGAAGGCTTCTGATTGGTTGTTTTGTCATTACTTTCGATATTCACGGCAGTGTACCTTAGTAATAACCAAAGGTGTGCGAGAGAATTTCAAATCGAAAAATAAGTCATAAAAATGGCTGACGTGTAGATTGAAGCGATGCATATGATGGTAAACATTTACTCTCCATCGTCACCTACGATGATAATAAAGGTTTTGAAGGGTTTGGCATGGTTGATGTGGAAATACTTCGGTGTTACATAATATGTAACTTTCCAGTAAATGGCTTTGTGCTCTACGCATACAGGAAAATATCGGCGGACCGAGGCGCACATGTCGTCTGCAGGTGAGGCCGAATTGAACATTGACATTGATACGTTTTGAGCCGATTTATTTCTTCAAACTTTTTATTGGTGAGTTAATCATAAACTAGACCGTTGCCAAGATATATCTATATGCCGACTGTGACAGTAAATTTATTTAATGGCAACCTGAAACCTGTAGCAAATCACATGCAATTCTTGACGAAATACCTGACCTTATTACCTGAGAATCTCCGTGTGAATATACAGCGTCTTATGTCAAAAATGAAGTTTATAATCTCTGTTATCATTTGCCAATCACATTTACGGACAAAAATAATTTTTAAATGATCTTCCTCTTGCTTAAATCCGATTAATTAAAAGTTTCACATTTTCTTACCTTTATTACCACCTGTACAGGTAAATACTGAAGCAACTTTAGATTTGAAAACGGCAATATAAACTAGAGACAACAACGAACAATTTTCATATAACTTTTTTTCACATATAACAAATATTTTCCAAGTTATGCACATTTGAAAAATCAAGTAAATTGAAATAAACACCAATAATTAATTTAACAGTGGTGTCCGTTTACATAGAAATCAATGTAGCAGCCTAAGGGTTAATTGGAAATTTATGTAAAAAGGAGTGAATTTTGAAAGAAAATGAAAGACACAATTTTTTGCAAAACAATGTCAAGAAAAATGATACTGACATAGATTAGTATTGCATTTATGTATATCAATTTAATAAATGCTAAAATTGTGTAAAATTAATGATCTATGAACGATTAAAAATTGACATTTTATAATAAAACCATATACCCATGATAATTACATGTAAGAGTTATCTTTCTTGAAAAAATTCATAGTAGTGAAATAGGTAGCTGGTTTCCTGAAGTACAGAAAAATGGACACATGTGACTCATTGATAAAAAAACAACTGAATTAATGTCTGGATTGCTTTGAAATACTTTAATATTGAGAGAACACACTGTTCTGTCAATAATAGACATATAATCATCAGTTAAATATTAAACATTAGAATATGCGGAAATTGTGATACTGTCTCCCTACATTAGGTTTTCAACTAGGGATGTACTTCCTATTTCCGTTTATCAATACACTCCTATGACCTTCAAGTGTTACTGTTCATCAGTGGTTAGTTGTTTTTAAGGAAATTGGCAATTGGGTTTGAATCAGAATGGCAGTTGGGCTGTCAATATGGCAGACTTTCAGCTGTGTTCTCAAAAACAACAGATTAGTCGGTTGAAAGTTTACATGCTGTAATATTGACCTATATGTATTCTGGGGAAAATGCTGGTCCTAAGTTGATGGATGGCCGGCTGCTTTTGCTGTCATTTTGTTCTGCATCATAATTTTTGCCAAACTTGCAATTATTTTTTGCCATTTTGTCAAGAAACCCAAACATTGCTGGAAAACATGCAAGATTCATCACACAGTTGTAAGTCATCTTGTACTACTGGATTTGACTGGGATCAGTGGGTTTTTTCTATGGGGCAAACAATTTTGGGAAAAGGTTTTTGGTCAGACATCTGTGGGTAGTTTGCACCTTAAAAAGTCTCCTAACAGTTACTAAAGATACTGAATTACATCTATACACAACTTGCTTGTCTAAGAAAAAGGAAGTGGAAAAGCCATCCTTCTGGAAAGTGGTTTCAAGCACTGAAAATATATGTTAATGAATTTAGAACATCTATTGATTCTTGTTTTTGTATGATGCAGGATCACGTTCTGATAGAACTAAACCAGACTGGTTTGAAAGGAGAAGGGTTAGTCCGGGAGGATGATCCATTCATTGTTGTCCATCCAAACTACCTGGTGGACTGAAGAGGGCAGAAAAATAAGACAGATGACAAGATTTGTGAAAAGCCCCCAAGGCTTTGTCCAATTGTGCTGATTTATTGACGTGGCAAACCCGATTGAGTAAATGCTCAGCCGAATAATGTCTCTATGTCGGCAGGCAGTAGTTCTGAAATGAATTTTCTAATGACACTACTTTTGATATCATGGAATGGATTATATGTTACGACCTGCGGGTACAGTTTCACAAAAGAGTTCCAATAAGGGAGACAAATAGACATATGGTTTACGTTAGTCAGTGCTATGCGATATTAATGTATATATTTAAGGAATGATTTTTATTTTTTCAACATTTATGAGGTCATAACAACAATGGGTTTATGGACATATTGAATGAATCGCGTTAGCGATTCATGTAAAATATGTCCAAAAACCCATTGTTGTTATGACCTCATAAATGTTGAAAAAATAAATATCATTCCTTATATTTACATTGACGAATCCTTTCAGTGGATCGATATAACAACGAATAAAACAAATAAACAGGGTTTGTTCCTGCTTATACACGGGTGCAACGCAGTGGCGAGAACAGTGTTTTTTCGCGGGGAAATGTGACACTATCGTGAGAGATCTTAGCAACCGTCAACAACAATAACACAACAAAATGTAGTTCCATATTCAATGTTTATTTGTAGCACAGGACACGTGAATACGTGGATATTTCACAAAGCACAGTTCAATAATATTTTAAGATGTAAGAATTAAGCATCTAGGTCGGTCGTTCCGAGTGAGTAGTTTTTGTAGTGTATTACTACGCAGTGTGATCAGGTTACTATCAGTTCCCACGTGCTGAGATTCTATGAACACCTGTGTTATGCATTTATGAATGTAATTTTTGTCAATGGGTCTAAGCATACAGAATGTTATTATTTAAGGAATGATTTTTATTTTTTCAACATTTATGAGGTCATAACAACAATGGGTTTATGGACATATTGAATGAATCGCGTTAGCGATTCATGTAAAATATGTCCAAAAACCCATTGTTGTTATGACCTCATAAATGTTGAAAAAATAAATATCATTCCTTATATTTACATTGACGAATCCTTTCAGTGGATCGATATAACAACGAATAAAACAAATAAACAGGGTTTGTTCCTGCTTATACACGGGTGCAACGCAGTGGCGAGAACAGTGTTTTTTCGCGGGGAAATGTGACACTATCGTGAGAGATCTTAGCAACCGTCAACAACAATAACACAACAAAATGTAGTTCCATATTCAATGTTTATTTGTAGCACAGGACACGTGAATACGTGGATATTTCACAAAGCACAGTTCAATAATATTTTAAGATGTAAGAATTAAGCATCTAGGTCGGTCGTTCCGAGTGAGTAGTTTTTGTAGTGTATTACTACGCAGTGTGATCAGGTTACTATCAGTTCCCACGTGCTGAGATTCTATGAACACCTGTGTTATGCATTTATGAATGTAATTTTTGTCAATGGGTCTAAGCATACAGAATGTTATTATTTAAGGAATGATTTTTATTTTTTCAACATTTATGAGGTCATAACAACAATGGGTTTATGGACATATTGAATGAATCGCGTTAGCGATTCATGTAAAATATGTCCAAAAACCCATTGTTGTTATGACCTCATAAATGTTGAAAAAATAAATATCATTCCTTATATTTACATTGACGAATCCTTTCAGTGGATCGATATAACAACGAATAAAACAAATAAACAGGGTTTGTTCCTGCTTATACACGGGTGCAACGCAGTGGCGAGAACAGTGTTTTTTCGCGGGGAAATGTGACACTATCGTGAGAGATCTTAGCAACCGTCAACAACAATAACACAACAAAATGTAGTTCCATATTCAATGTTTATTTGTAGCACAGGACACGTGAATACGTGGATATTTCACAAAGCACAGTTCAATAATATTTTAAGATGTAAGAATTAAGCATCTAGGTCGGTCGTTCCGAGTGAGTAGTTTTTGTAGTGTATTACTACGCAGTGTGATCAGGTTACTATCAGTTCCCACGTGCTGAGATTCTATGAACACCTGTGTTATGCATTTATGAATGTAATTTTTGTCAATGGGTCTAAGCATACAGAATGTTATTATTTAAGGAATGATTTTTATTTTTTCAACATTTATGAGGTCATAACAACAATGGGTTTATGGACATATTGAATGAATCGCGTTAGCGATTCATGTAAAATATGTCCAAAAACCCATTGTTGTTATGACCTCATAAATGTTGAAAAAATAAATATCATTCCTTATATTTACATTGACGAATCCTTTCAGTGGATCGATATAACAACGAATAAAACAAATAAACAGGGTTTGTTCCTGCTTATACACGGGTGCAACGCAGTGGCGAGAACAGTGTTTTTTCGCGGGGAAATGTGACACTATCGTGAGAGATCTTAGCAACCGTCAACAACAATAACACAACAAAATGTAGTTCCATATTCAATGTTTATTTGTAGCACAGGACACGTGAATACGTGGATATTTCACAAAGCACAGTTCAATAATATTTTAAGATGTAAGAATTAAGCATCTAGGTCGGTCGTTCCGAGTGAGTAGTTTTTGTAGTGTATTACTACGCAGTGTGATCAGGTTACTATCAGTTCCCACGTGCTGAGATTCTATGAACACCTGTGTTATGCATTTATGAATGTAATTTTTGTCAATGGGTCTAAGCATACAGAATGTAAATATTATGTTATGAATCATCATTTATGTGTATTACTGGAATCATGCTATGATGGGCTCTATATTAGAACTATTTAGGGTTCTATTTAAGTCCTGGATTCTTGACTGTTAAATAAAATTTGTATTTTGGAGATCTGCTGGCATAATCCAACCATGGTGGATTGGAAGAGGATGCCAAAAATTGAAAAAAAATGTAAATTAAATGTGCATCTGCATTGTAGAAAATACGACAATTAATGTGAATGAAATATATCTTATTTGATGATTTTGTAAATATTTTTTAACATCAATAAAATAAAAGTGCATTCAAACTGAACAGTTTGGTTTGTTATTTCTACAAATTAAAATGTTTCAAAATTGCATCACCGACCATAATTTGAAGGCAGCTTAAGACAATATTACAATGCCCCGCGATCATAAAGTAGGCCAAGTGTTGTATAAATAAAGGTGTGCCCCCTCCATGGAAACCCATAGACAGGAGACAAGATAGGATTTGGTTTTATTATGTCTCCCCTTCGAATGAAGGGAGATATATTGTATTAGTACTGGTTCTTATATATACAATGTATATAGATAAAATCACTAGTGTCAATTGGAGGGTAAAACAATTCATAAATATAATTTGAAATGATGTCTTATCTACAAAGCGTAGCTGTACTGTACACGTGTACAATGAGTTGTTGACATGATTGCATAGAAGATAAATAAATAAGTATATTATTAAAATAAAATAAAATGTTCGTTTGATTTGAAAAATATTTTACAACTTAATTAAGGAAAAAGATATCATGCCCAAGTATTTAAAAAACCCACCTAAAACGTGGATTCGAACTTGTACCGTTCATTTCGTCTGGTCACAAGTCAACTGCGTTACACATTCGGCTACTTCGGACATAAAGGAAGATGTTTTAACCCAAGAAACACCTGTCGTTGTTTTAAGAAACTCGCTCACCACTGTTTTTCATTATATTGAGCATTTTCCCAAAGGAGGACCACTTTTCCGGAAAACGATTTGTTTTTGCATATTACATCACGGAATAAAAAAGTTTATTCAAAAGTTGGTCCTCGGATGGGAAAGAATTGATACTGTTTTTCTCAGTCTGGGAAACCCCATCACTTTCATAGATATAGTGAATATGGCTATATTTGCAGTATCATAATTATTAACAATACCTAATAACTCAGCAGTTCAAAAATTCATATATAATTTGTTTTATATCTATTCTATGCATTTTCGCTCATACATATTTTTTTCCGTTTTCATAAATGATTTCCGCCATAGATCTTTTTTCCAAGTGTGTTATCAAATATGTATGAATTTTTTTTAGAATTGATAAAATGATTTTTTTGTCCCATTATTATTTGTGTTATTTTTCATCTTTTTTGGGGTCAAAAATCAAAAGTGCTTCAGTCACACTAAATATGTAAAACAAATACCAATTATGTATATTTTTCCACTTTGTTGCGTATTATGTTTATCGTATTGAACATTATAAAGTTGTGCAGCAAAATTGAACAATTTACAATTAAAAATGGCGACACAATGACAATTTAAGTGATCAATCTAGTGTCAAAAAGGTGAATTTTTGGCCTTTTCTGAAGCGCAAGAAATACACATTAATACACATTTTCAAAATGGCCGCCTAATTGGTCATTTTTTTTGAATTCTTGTAAAAAAAGTTCTACAAACACCCAAGCATCTATTTTTTTGACATTTTTTCAGATGTGTGTTTGCTATTAAATCATAATTATTAGATCATAATTTGTTAAATATTACAAAAACCCGTTACACCAGATCAAAACGAGACTTGAACGGGATTGAAACCTCTGAAGAGTACCTGCATCACCACAGACGGTGTGCAGTGTACTCGAACTAGGTCTCGTGCTTCACCATATACAGAGTTACGGCCCTTTGTTTATTTTTAATACCGAAGTTTGTCCGGAGCATAAGTTCCATGTTATTTCACCTACGTTGACCAAACTTATCATATTTATGTATATGGGAAAGTGGAATCTCTCGCACTAAAATCAGGTTGTGTGTCCCACTATTTACAGAGTTATGTCCATTTGTTTATTTTTAATACTTAAGTTTGTCCACGGCATAACTTCCATGTTATTTCACCTACGTCGACCACACTTGCTATAGTTTTAATGTATCTAGGGAAGTAAGAGTGTCGCATTCTAAATTCGGGTGTCGTGCCCCACTATATAAAGAGATATGGCCCTTTGTTATTTTTTTTATACCGAAGTTTGTCTATTGGCTAATAAGGGGAGACATGTTTTTGTTCACAAAAACAAAATCCCATTTTTTTTAACTTTGTCTAAGGTCATTTGAGGACTTGCCCACATGTGTGTAGTGTATGTGTGTGTATGCAGGAGACGGGGTATGTTGGTGTTCTTGCCTCCTTGTGATAGCGCGGATCTGATGCCGACTTTATAGTGCTATCTCACTGAAATGCCCTGCCGAATGCCCCCAGTACAGCATTCCGCCCGGTCACATTATACTGACAACGGGTGAACCAGTTGTTGCCATTTCCCTTAATACTGAACGTTGAGCAGGGAATAACTACTATTTTTAAGGACTTTGGTACATCCCGGCGTGGGGACATAATCCATTGTCTTCCACACCTGAACGAACACTCAACATTCAAGCCAAAAGTGAGGT